TTTTGGTCCCGTCTGCACTCTGGTGGGAGCTAACTGACTTGGGCCAGAGCAAAAAATGCAAGGCCAGAGAGCAGGAGCTAAAACAGGAATTGGAATTAGAAGCCACAGTGGTAAATCCAGGATGTCCCACTTAAAATGGGACAGTTTTGCGTATGTCTTTATTTTTATTTCATTTTATTTATTTATTTGCAACCTTCTCACGGTTCTGAACACACCACCTGAGTCCTTTTCCTCAAGAGAGCTGGGCCTTGTTCTTTCGTCTCCTGCTTTTCTTCCATTAGCCTTGAAATCTCTCCCCTCTGTTGCCATATCTCTTCTCTCATGCTTTATCAGCCGCTGTGTTCCGTCTCCTGTTTAAAATAAGTTTGAGAGGGTGAGAGATGGAGGGAGGGGGCCCACAGACAGGCTGCTCCAGAGAGAAGACAGTCACAAGCTTTTAAAAATAGAATTTTCAGCAGGGCTGGAGGTGCAGAGTAAATGGGGAATCGGTGCCGCAAGCACAGTAGCTCTAAAAACACTTTCACAACACCTGCTTTCTCCTTTCTCTTTGCTACAACAGTCAAACAAGGATATCCCCGTTTGTATGGTTGCTGAGGGACAGCTATGATTCTATGTCAGGTTCCTCTCCAGAGAGTGGGGAAACAACTGAAGACATGTTTGTTCTGACTTGCTTTCCCAGCTGAATCAATGGGTCTTTACCATTAGTGTCCAATTGTTAGGGTTTACTCTCATTCTAAATGCATCTGTTGTCGTTGTGTTTTTAACTGTTTTCATTGCAGAAACTATGCAATGCTATGGTTCTATGACCCGACCTGATTTTTTTTCTTCCTCTTCATCCACCAGCTATTGGAGACTGTCAGTGCTCCCATGAGCTCTGATGCTCATCTGCACCAGATCTGAAATTTTGGCTGGTATTCCAGGAATAAATGGCTCAGGATCACAATACCTCAAGGACTGCCTCTTTCCATATGAACCTACCCGGATCCTGAGATCATCTTCTGAGGCTCTTCTTCATGTGCCTCCTCCTCCAGAGGTCCGGAGGGTGGCAACATGAGAACAGGGCCTTCTCTCCAGTGGCTCCCTGTCTGTGGAATGCTCTCCCCAGGGAGATTCGCCTGGCACCTTCATTATACACCTTCAGGTGCCAGGCAAAAACATTCCTTTTTCACCAGGCCTTTGGTTCATCTGACTGACATCCTATGCCCTTTTAAAATGTGTTTTATTGGGGGGGTGGCTATTGGGTTGTTTTCATTTTGTATTTTGTGGTTTTATATCTTGATTTTATTGTGTGAACTGCTCTGAGACCCCTGATTATAGGACGGTATATAAATTTAACAAATAATAATAATAATACAGTAGTACCTCGTGTTACAGACGCTTCAGGTTACAGACACTTCAGATTACAGAAGTGTTCCGCTAACCCAGAAATAGTACCTCGGGTTCCGCTAACCCAGAAATAGTACCTCGGGTTAAAAACTTTGCTTCAGGATGACAACAGAAATCGCATGGCAGCAGCGGCAGCTGGAGGCCCCATTAGCTAAAGTGGTACCTCAGGTTAAGAACACTTTCAGGTTAAGAACAGACCTCCAGAATGAATAAAGTTCTTAACCCGAAGTACCACTGTACAGTGGACCTTCTGGTTATGAATTTAATTCGTTTCAGGAGTCCGTGCGCACCTTGAAAAATCTGTAACTGCTGGTTCTGTGCATGAGCATGACTCAATAGAGCGCTTCTGTGCACATGCGAGAGGCAAAACCCAGAAGAATACACTTCCAGGTTTGCCACTTTCGCAACCCGAAGATCATGTATCCAGAGCGGTATGTAACCTGAGGGTCCACTGTAATAATAATAATAATAATAATAATAATAATAATAATAATACCACCCAGGGGACAGGCCTAGGGCCCTGACCAGTCCCAGCCCACCAGCATCCTGGTCCCTCCTAGATGTGACCTGCCAGTCAACCTCCCTGCAGGCTGCCACTCTTGTGCGAGCAAAGCGAAGTCATAGAGGAAATTGCAGGTCACAGGGAGGCACCGAGACTTTCACAAACACCCTGAACTGCAGCCCTCAGCACTTGTGCTTTTATGAAGAGGATGCCCTTTTGCAGGGAGGGATTTATGTTGCCTTATTATCCTGAGCTGCCTGACGGAGGAGAAACAGCCTATAAATCTGCAGTCCCTGGCGGACGTTCTCCTGACTGGTCTGTTCTCGCTGCCGAGCCACGAGGCGAGTGCCCTTTCCAGCGTTGGCTGCCGGAGCTAACCGGCAATTTAGATTTCGGAGCGGACAGCGCAGCAGCACGTAATTCCCCCCCGAATCGGGATTTACGAGCGGCGACAGCAGCACAATGCAAAAGAAATCAATTACCCTAAAAGTTTGCTTGGAGCGCAAAGGGGGAGGTCCTCCTTCCTGTTCCCTATTAACTTAATGAAGCTCTGTGTACCTGAGGGCCTAGATGGAGCATGGGGTGCAGGAGGGTCAGGAATTGGATGGTGATTTATTATGCTGCAACAAAATGTTGCAGCATGGGGTGCTCCTCTTCAAGATGCCAGCCAACCACGTTCCCCCTCCCTTGGTTTTACAACCCGCCCCTGCCAGACACTCCATTTCTCCATCATAGTCGCTGCTGCTTGGGTTTCCCCCTCTTAGCATTTATTATTATTATTATTATTATTATTATTATCCCTGAAGGTTTTTATTTACCGTATTTACTCAAATGTAATGCACACCTCTTTTGCCAAATCGCATCATGGAAATTGGGGTGCGCATTAGATTCGATGGCGCGGTATCTTTCTCTCGGGTTCCCTGACAGCTTCTTTTGGTGCCTGGATGGTGATACTTTGGCTACAGCAGATGACCAAATCAGAAAGCAAGATCACAGTCGATGCTCGGGTTGTGAACGTCAATTCCACCTTTGAAATCCCGCTAATGTCCTGGAAAATCCAGGCGTATGGCAGCCCTAGCATAGCGTGATGTAGGGTATCATCACATGGGGAGGACTTGCTAACAGTGGGCGATTCCAGGCTGTCGCTATTTGCAGGGGATTGGGTCTGACCACACCCTGGCAAATTCAGATTGTGAAATTAAAGTTGATTTTGAAGGTCATAAGCAACAAGCCCACTTCCTCAAAAGATAGGTCTTTTGCAGTAAGGAAAGTGACGGGGAAATGCCCTGGAAAGTGTGGGGTGACACTTGCATCCTCCCTGCAAAAAGATCAGGATAAATGCTTAATAATACAGGTGGAGGAGAAATTCGATTCAGTTCATATCCTGCAGTAAACGAGCTTATGCTGCCCTTTCCAAAAACAGGATGAGAACTGAAACACAGCCTTCCTTTGAAATTCGCATTTCTCTGAATTTTGCCATGTGTACAAGTATTGTGTACAAAGGTAAGGGAAAGGGGAAGGACCCCTGACCACTAAGTCCAGTAGCAGACAGCACTGGGGTTGCGGTGCTCATCTCGCTTTATTGGCCGAGGGAGCCAGCGTACAGCTTCCAGGTCATGTGGCCAACATGACTAAGCTGCTTCTGGCGAACCAGAGCAGCGCATGGAAACGCCGTTTTCCTTCCCGCCGGAGCAGTACCTATTTATCTACTTGCACTTTGAGGTGCTTTCGAACTGCTAGGTTGGCAGGAGCAGGGACTGAGCAACGGGAGCTCACCCCGTCGGAGGGATTCGAACTGCTGACCTTCTGATCGGCAAGTCCTAGGCTCTGTGGTTTAGACCACAGCGCCACCCGCGTGCATATAAATGCATATAAACAGCATACAAAATTGCATTCTATTGGGTGGAGTTGTTTGCAAACATGGGTAGTCAAAACTGCTTACGAAAAGGTATTCATTGGCAGAAATTCACACTGAAATGCTGGCGAATTTTCATGAGGATTATTTTAATCAAAATTCACAAATTGCTTCAGAAATGTGGTGCACTGAATTTAAGATTGAAAGATGAGGAACTGAGAGAACCACCGCTGACTGATTCATCCATCTCTACCCAATGAACAGGGCATCTGGAAGCATCTGGTATTGCAAGACTGCAGATCCCTAGGTAATCAAGAGACCATTTGAGGGTTCCATTCTCCATGACAACTAGAATTAGCATCCTCGGCCCATAGTCACTTTACTCTTATTGTATATTTATGTAAGAGGTTTCCCACAGAAAAGTCTCTCTGCCTTCCAGTTCCAGCTATTACAGCTTCACCGGATTATCCCTGACTGCATCAGTAATCTACAACTGGAGAGCCTGTAGCTAAGTGGTAAAGTAGGCTTTACATGTCAAGGACCCCAAATTCAACTCCTGGCATCTCCAGGCGAGTGTTTCTCTTACCTGCAGGCTGTCTTCTCCCTGGCTGTGGCTCACCCAGAGACAGCAGCTGGGTCTAGGAAGCCACCTGCCATGATAAATTTCCCAGAGTGCTCCTGGGGGACACTGCATTGAATGCTCTGGGGCACTGTGGGAAATCTAAGTGGCAGGCAGCTTCCCAGAGCCAGCTGCTGCTTCCAAGTAAGCTCAGAATTGGAGAAATGGGCAGGTGGGAGGGCAAAATGGGGCATCAGCACATGGGTGCCTTTGCATCTGCCTAAGGATGCCCTGCAAGAAGAACAAACCTATCCATTCTTAAGGAAATCAACCCTGAGTGCTCATTGGAAGGACAGATCCTGAAGCTGAGGCTCCAATACTTTGGCCACCTCATGAGAAGAGAAGACTTCCTGATGTTGGGAAAGATGGAGGGCACAAGGAGAAGGGGACGACAGAGGACAAGATGGTTGGACAGTGTTCTCGAAGCTACCAGCATGAGTTTGACCAAACTGTGGGAGGCAGTGGAAGACAGAAGTGCCTGGTGTGCTCTGGTCCAAGGGGTCACGAAGAGTCGGACACGACTAAATGACTAAACAACAACAACAAGGATGCCCTGAGCATGACTCGGAAAGGCTTAGACCTAGTATTGCTACTGCCACTGAGAGTAAACAATACTAGTCTGGGTGAATATCTAGACAGCTTCAATAGTTCAGTTGGGAGAGCATGAGACTCTTAATGTCAAGGTTGTGGGTTTGAGCCCCATGTTGGGCAAAAGCAGTGCTTTTTTCTGTGGGGATGAGGGGTACACATTCCCGTAAAAAAATTGTGAATCTAACGGGAGAAGAAATTAATTATTTTTATTTTCATTTTCATTTTTAAAAAATAGTTTCTTCTCTAGCACGGTGAATCGTCAGTTCCATTGCTACCTCCAATGGCGGCCTCATTTCCTGTCATGGCGCTTCCTGAGTCTCCGACAGAAGCAAGCGTTTAATGTGTGAAGCAGGAGTTGGAATCTAACAGCTGGTCAGTTTCGTTGTTACCACCTCTGATGGTGGCTTCATTTCCTTTCCCGGTGTAATGCATGTTCTTTGTACTTTTGTCCATTTACTGTATTTATTTTTCCCGGTTTGAACTATAAAATGGTGATTTTCTTGAGTCAAAATGAGAGTACCCCAAAACATTATTTTTTTTGGGGGGGGGGGAACACTGGGCAAAAAATTCCTGTTTTGCAGGGGGCTGGACTAGATAACACTTGTGGTCCCTTCCAAGTGTATGATCCCATGATTCTATGTTTGTGTGGGACCACTGATTGTAGTGGTGAATTTTGAAGTGCAGGGGTTCACCCTGACAGCTCCCAAGGACAGTTTAAAAAGGAAGGCAGCTCTGTTGATCCAGTACATGCACACAATGTCTACAGTAACTTGCTCATCAGGGTTGTACAATAGGGTGTATCTCCCCCAACCCTATCCGGAAAAACACCAGGGATCAAAACTTTGCAACTTCTATATGCAAAAAAATTGGTCCTCTATCACTGAGCTACAGCCCTTCCCCATAATGTCCACATTGCATAAAGCTGTCCAAACTTATTCTGCCCAAACTTAACGGGAAAGTGAACATTTGGTCTTAAAAACACAAAACACACATGCACGCTGCCTCCTTTCTCTTCGCCATCCCACCCGCATGCTCTTCGTAAAGCCTTTGGAATGCCAAAATCTGTCAAACAATGCCTGGTGCCAGGTTTTTTAACAAGACACTCTCTCGATGCCCGGTGCCAAACAGCCTCTTTAAACAATGCTGAATGAAGGATAGCAACTTCTCCTGTTGTGGTCGCACTGTCGTTCGCAGGCCATATATAGGCAAAAGGTAGGGAATCCCCTCGGCTGGGAGGAGGGAGCTTGCAGGACGGAAAGCGTGGCAGGCTCCCCACAGAGCATGCATGGATATGTGAGCACGTCACGCGGTTGCCTCCTAATTGCTTCCATCCCCTCCTGTACGCACACACACACACACACACACAAGAAATGGCAAAGGGACTTGTGAGAAGCTGACCCCAGCTGACCCTTTGCTGAGAGAGACCAGGGGGCCTGGACCAAAGGAACCCAATCCCCTTGGTAGCAGGAGCTGCAAACACACCAACATCCTCTTTTTCCAGGGACAGGGCATCCGACTGCACAAGCTAACAATAGTCCCGGGAACAGCCAAATAAGGGCCTTTAATGCCTTGGCTTAATGTCAGGAGAAAAAGAAAGCATCATCACAGAGGCTACAGCCGGAATTGTGCAAAGCTTTCGTAGAGCAAAAGAGACACACTCACAGAGAGAATCCAATTGTGAGCTAGACACACGGTTCCAGTGCAGAACTTTCAAGGAGTGGCAAAAAAAGGCTCCTTCTATTTCAGTGGCCCCTTGTGCCTGGACTTCTCCTTCCTTTTAGATATCCCTGAAAAGCTCTCTTCTTCCAGAGTCTGCTGTTTCTTCAGTTGCCTTACGCCAGGACTTCTCCAAGTAAAAAAAAAATCTCCTGTGGTTTCTCCTTCCCCTTAAAGACCCCTGAAAACCTTGCTTTTTCCAGAGTCCCTTTCTTTAACTCTTTGCTTTCCTGACCATGTAGTTACCCTGCTCCTGGTGTTTTGGTTGCAAGGCTGGCATAGGTAATCATTTGCACCCGAGATTTGCAATAGGAGCACAAAACACAACAGAATCAGCTTCCCTCTGTCTGCCTACAAGGAAATGTATGCCATGCTATTTTTCTAGAAAAAGAGGTGCCAGAACTTACCATTCACACCTCCCTCATTCTCTTATAATGGCAATGGCGCCCACCTGAGAGGTGCCGGAATTGAGTTCCACTGACTTGTGGCCGAAAAAAGTCCTGACTATATGGGTGCTTCACTCCCCCTCCCTTTGGGGGGTTACATGCACATCAATTGGGTGCCGGATTCCCCTACTTACTCCAGGGGTGGTGAACATCTGCCCCCTCCAGATGTTGCTGAACTGCAATTCCTATAGTCTTTGGCCACTGGCCATACTGGTTGGGGTGGATGGGAGTTGTAGTTCAGTAACATCTGGAGGACCAAAGGTTCCCTACCCCTGTATTAAAACCAGTCTATGGGTAGTAATCAAGTAAGTTTCACTTAGAGTAGGCCTGTTGACATTAATGGACCTAGCATAGTCAACGTTCATTCATTCCAGTAGGTTTTCTGTTAATACCACCCTAAGTCCATAGTGCAGGTAAAGGTAAAGGAACCCCTGACCATTAGGTCCAGTCGTGACCGACTCTGGGGTTGCGGCACTCATCTCGCTCTATAGGCTGAGGGAGCCGGCGTGCAGCTTCTGGGTCATGTGGCCAGCATGACTAAGCCACTTCTAGTGAACCAGAGCAGCGCACGGAAACGCCGTTTACCTTCCCGCAGGAGTGGTACCGATTTATCTACTTGCACTTTGATGTGCTTTCGAACTGCTAGATTGGCAGGAGCAGGGACCGAGCAACGGGAGCTCACCCCGTCGCGGGGATTCGAACCGCCGACCTTCTGATCGGCAAGCTCTAGGCTCTGTGGTTTAACCCACAGCGCCACCCGCATCCCATAGTGCAGGCACCCCTCCCCCCCAAAAAAAACCCATTATCTGATAATGGACCACCATGAACTCTGTAGCTGTGCCTTTAATAGCAGTTTGATGTGTGGACATTTATCTCCACCCTGTAAATTCTTCCTCCATTCCTATAAATCATTCTGCTCTTAAAGACACAAGACCAGACCAGTCTGGTTATTGTCTGGTCAGCTGGAAACTTTGGAGGAGATGGCCACAGTCCTGGCAGGCAGTGAAGAAAAGGTACTATGAACTGGTGCTGGTAGAATCATAGAAATGTAGAGTTGGAAGGGACCCTGAGGGTCATCTAGCCCAACCCCCCTTCAATGCAGGATTAGTTTGCTCAACGTGAGGCTCAACTCAACTCAATGACCCTGAGATTACAAGTCTCATCGTCTTCCAACTGAACACATTTCCTGTAAGCAGGAGCTGCAATGACTTAGTCACAGGGCAGGTCACCAGGAGGTCAGTTCCAAGTTGGATCCCATGTCTTGCTCACTGAAAACCAGAACAAATTGGTACATTTGCTAAGGCCATGCTTCAGCTGATTCCTTTCCCCCCCCCCTTTCAATCTTGGGAAGAAGCCACTTCTTTTCAAAAAGCGTTGCAGTGACCTTATTAAAAACTAATACCTTTGCTCCTCCATGAATGCCTAAAATAGGTTTTCAGCCTAACATTTGTTAGCAGAGATGTTTGGGCTTTGCTCTGTAACTTGAGCGGTGATGTAATAGTTTGTGACACTGGATTAGTCACGATACGGGGAAGATTCTGGGCCAAGATTCTGGGCGGTGAAGTTGGGGTGCGGGTGCGGATCCAGTAAAAGTCCAGGCAATTCTTTTACTCCAGTTTCAATTGGTTCATTGGGAGCTAGATGTTGAAGGCGTGATCCAGCACTGTTTCTGCAATGCTGCAATAGTCCTGCGGTGCATATTCAAGGGCATGGGTCAGGTGTGAGGAACCTTTGGCCCTCCAGGTGCAGGGGAATCTGGTGTGCAAATGATGTGCATGTAGGGCCCATAAAGCGGGGAACAAGCAGTGAAGCATCCATAATTTGGTTACTCCATATAAGTAGACAGAGATAAGCTGGTTCTCTTGTGTTTTCTGCTTCGAGTACGATCTGGTTGAGAAATGTTGGGTGCAGATTACCTAAATCAGCTTTTGGGCCCCTTCAGATATCCTTTTTCCCAGTACAGTGGTACCTCGGGTTACATACGCTTCAGGTTACATACACTTCAGGTTACAGACTCCGCTAACCCAGAAATAGTACCTCGGGTTAAGAACTTTGCTTCAGGATGAGAACAGAAATCATGCGGCGGTGGTGCGGCAGCAGTGGGTGGCCCCATTAGCTAAAGTGGTACCTCAGGTTAAGAACAGTTTCAGGTTAAGAACAGACCTCTGGTTCACCTCAGGTGCCAAAATGTCTTGGTCTGGCCATGTTCATGATTATATCAGGCTAATAATAATAATAATAATAATAATAATAATAATAATAATATATTTATACCCTGCCCATCTGGCTGGGTTTCCCCAGCTGCTCTGGGCAGCTTCCAACAGAATATTAAAAATACAATAAAGCATCAAACATTAAAAACTTCCCTAAACAGGGCTGAGGTCCTGATTTCGATACTGTTTGTGCTTGCAAAGGTTTCATGGAAGATACACTGCTTCATTGCCAATCAATGCATGCCCTCTACCAGTATCCTGTAATCTGCTCTATCACAAAAGCTCTGTTTATTTTGTTGTCTCATTTTGCTTGCCCCTCCAGAAAGCAATAATCCAATTACATTGAGGAATTAACATAGAATCACTAAGAAAGTGAATGCAGTGTGGACAGTCCAGTATCAATCCACCACTAACACACTATTGTTCCAGATTCAGGTAGACAGCCGTGTTGGTCTGACACAGTCAAAATAAATAAATAAAAATGTCCAGTAGCACCTTGGAGACCAGCTAAGTAGTGTGGAGGGTGGGGTGGGATTTTTCTCAGTAGGGTAGTAGGAGATGGGTGATTGATTTACCATCCCCATTGAGTCAATCACCCATCTCCTACTACCCTACTGAGAAAAAACCCACCCCACCCTCCCACTATATATAAGGGTCTGGTGGCTTCTGTTTCAGTGTATCTGAACAAGTGTGCAGGCACATGAAAGCTTATACCCAGAACATACTTAGCTGGTCTCTAAGGTGCTACTAAGGGATATAAGGGATGCGGGTGGCGATAAGGGATGCGGGTGGCGCTGTGGGTCAAACCACATAGCCTAGGACTTGCTGATCGGAAGGTCGACGGTTCGAATCCCCGCGACAGGGTGAGCTCCCGTTGCTCGGTCCCTGCTCCTGCCAACCTAGCAGTTTGAAAGCACGTCAAAGTGCAAGTAGATAAATAGCGGGAAGGTAAACGGCGTTTCCGTGTTCTGCTCTGGTTCGCCAGAAGTGGCTTAGTCATGCTGGCCACATGACCCGGAAGCTGTACGCCGGCTCCCTCGGCCAATAAAGTGAGATGACCACCGCAACCCCAGAGTATGTCACGACTGGACCTAATGGTCAGGGGTCCCTTTACCTTAACCTTTAAGGTGCTACTGGACAATTTTTTTATTTATTTACACTATTGTTCCATCAGTGACATATTGCAGAATACAACTGCATCTCCCCAATAAAAAACACAACCCCGGTCTGGAGCGGTGCTCCCCAACCCAGCTCTGATTATTAGGGTTTATGGGCATTATAGCCCCAAAACATCTGGAAGGCACCAGATGGAGGAAAGCTAACCCAGGGCCTTAGAAATTCTTGGCTTGCATTTTCCTCAACAGCTCTGTTTCGCTTGTGATTGTGCAACAACAGCCTCCTGAAACCCATTATGCAAATAGCTCTCTTAACGTCTCCTCTGGCCCTGTTAACAAATGGCCGGGAGAAGCAAGCAACCGCCTGCCCACCTGGTCACAGGGAACAAAGCAGGCGAGGGGCAGGAAAATAAATAGCAACCAACCCTGTAGGCTTTGTGGTGGATTTGCCAAGGAACAAGCGGGCTGGGGAAGACAATGCAAATAGCACCTGCCGTGAACGCTGGGCGAACAAAGACAGCCAGGGATTGTTTCCACAGCTACCAACATCCAGGCAGGGCGGCCAGAAAAGGCGGGATGGCTGTAGACAGAGAGCGCCAGGCCCTGCAGCTCTGCTGTCTGGTGCCATTTATGAAACAAGGCCAGGATTGGGGTCTAGGGGCACATTCATGCTCACATCTGGCCTCCTGCCCCCCAACCCCGTCTACCATAGTAACATCAGCTGCAGCTCCCACATTAAAATGTGCCACTTCCGTATCTCCTCCTGTTTTCCTCTCTGCTTGCTGTCTTTATTCTGAGGAGGAAATGCATGGTTATGCCTTGCTTACGCAATGGGGAACCTCAGGCTCTAGGGCAAAAAGCAGCCTTCCTCTCTAGTGATTTTCACCAGGCCACTCACATTCTTGAACCACAACTCTCACCAACCCTGATTCACAACCCCTGTGAAGTTCCGCTAGGGAAACTCCTTGGGTAGAGCAGGTTTTGCTGCAACTTTCCCTTTCAGGTGGCCCCAATCCACCTCTCCAGGATCTATTACCAAGAGATCCAGAAGGTGGCAACATGAGAAAGGGCCTTTTCTACAGTGGCTCCCCTGTTTGAGGAATGCTCTCCCCAGGGAGGTTCGCCTGGCGCCTTCATTATACACCTGTAGGCACCAGGCAAAAACTTTCCTCTTTAATCAGGCCTTTGGCTGATTAACATCCAGTGCCCTTTTGAAATGTGTTTGGGAGGGATTATTGGGCTGTTCTTGCTTTTATTATGTATTTTGTGTTTTTGTATTGTGATTTTATGTTGTTTTATGTGCTTAATACAGGATTAGAACTCAAGCACACTTCTTCCTAATAAGCAAGACTGGGAACAAAATGGAGCACTCATGAGTTTGCATTGTAACGTTTTTTTCTACAAGATTATACAATAAGGTACACTTCTTTTTTTTTTGCTGTTCTGCTGTTATGTTGTGGAAAAATTAATATGTTAAAAGGTATGAGAGGCTGAGCACACGCCATACTTTTAAAGCGCATGAAAAGAATCCTGCTAATTGCAGTTTGTTAAGGGTGCTGGGAATTGTAGTTCTGTTGGGGGGGGTTAAACTACAGTTCCCAAGAATCTTTACACTGAATGAATGTGCCTTAAACGCACACTGCGTATACAGGCTGCGTTAGTGCCAGGCCCAAACCCCACGCCCCAATCCCAGCAGCCTCTATGTGGTGGTGACAACCAAAATCTTTGAACTGGACTTAAAACTGGGCATTTGGAAATACGCAACACTTTGTAAGAGCTGTCCCCATCCAAGTGCAGTTAAAACTGCTGCAGCTACTCGCCCTACACTGGAGGCAACCGTTTCCAGCTGGCCGCTGATAAATTGCTCAATTCCCATTAAAGAAATGTTGACTCTGCTTCTGGGTAAATATGCTGATTGTTTCTTGACTATAAATGTCAAACGAATAGCAAACATGAAAGGGGAGGAGGGGGAAAACCACTCAACTGAGGCGGGTTATTGTAGGGGAGGCAAGCCGAGGCATGCCCACAATAGAGAGGGCTGGTGCCCCATTTGTCTCCACAAACAGTGGAGAAATAAACGTGCCAGTTTCGTTGGGAAATGAACCAGCGGCGTAGATAACAAACACTTAAAAGTCCCCCCAAGCCCATGGTGACATTCACGGTGATGGATGTCTGGCATGAGATCGGGAAACTGCCGGCTGATTTAACATTGGTCAGAATCGGTTCTTGTGCAGAAGGAGTTGTTTGTTGTACATTCCAACATCTGGAAATGCAGAAGGCGTAAGATACCGTTGTAGGACAGGGATGAGGAGAACCTGTGGCCCTCCAGATGTTGCTGGCCAAAGGTCAGGGCAAACGGGAGTTGGAGAGCTTCAATATGTCCATTTCCTGTTGCTGGCCCTGGTTGTGGTCCAAAACATCTGGAAAGGTTGGGGAAGGCTGCCTTGGAAAGTACAGACTACTCTGTCTTGGGGCAGAGGCAACATTAAAACCATAACTAAATCATTAACAAAATTGGTATGTCTATAGATACATATGGTATTCCCACTCCTAGACAGCATCTTAAAAAGCAGAGACAGCACCTTGCCAACAAAGGTCCGTATAGTTAAAGCTATAGATTTCCTAGTAGTGATGCATGGAAGTGAGAGCTGGACCATAAAGAAGGCTGATCGCCGTAGAATTGATGCTTTTGAATTATGGTGCTGGAGGAGACTCTTGAGAGTCCCATGGACTGCAAGAAGAACAAACCTCTCCATTCTGAAGGAAATCAGCCCTGAGTGCTCACTGGAAGGACAGATCCTGAAGCTGAGGCTCCAATACTTTGGCCACCTCATGAGAAGAGAAGACTCCCTGGAAAAGACCCTGATGTTGGGAAAGATGGAGAGCACAAGGAGAAGGGGACGACAGAGGATGAGATGGTTGGACAGTGTTCTCGAAGCTACCAGCATGAGTTTGACCAAACTGCAGGAGGCAGTGTAAGACAGGAGTGCCTGGCATGCTCTGGTCCATGGGGTCACAAAGAGTCGGACACGACTAAACGACTAAACAGCATTCCCACTCCCCCATTTTTCCTCCATTTGCCTCTGCCTTTTCTCTTTCTGTTTTGCTGCTCCCTTCCACCTCTTGATCAGTTGGTTTTAGAAAACAGCCAGGGGGACGTCCTTCATCAAAGACATCCATCCAGCTGTTTGGCTCTGCATGCAAAACAGGGAGCTGCTACTGCTGCTGCTGCTGCTAAACAAGCTGGCAACAGTGCAGAAACTCACAAGGCACTGGCCATTATGGCTACACAAACTCCCTAGGGCCGAGCCGTCAAAGCAAGGATCTAAATATAGAGAGGGAAATATTTATTTCTTCCGTCAGTTGAAAAGAAGCGATGCCTGTTATGAAAAGCGGCTGGATCTTCCTCTCTGTTCAGTGGGACAACGTCGTAAAATAATTGTCAGGAGACTTTGGTTCCTTCGGGAGTTGTCTCGGCCTCTGCTTGAGCTGCAGACTGTTATGTGAGGCTGGTTTCTCCTCAGGGCTGCCTCCAAGTTTTCTGGGTCCCAGGAAGTCTTTTGGTCCTCTTTCTGCCATTGTAGGAGCCTGTACTTTTTTAAAATTTCAAAATAAGGTCCTTTGTACAATATTAGAAACGCCCTGGACTCCAGTGGCCAGTTTTTGAGGCTGGCATAAAATTAAAACCATAAAAGCCAAGTTATTGGAGTGAACAGATGTTCACTGATATCTTCCAGTTTCTGGATTAAGCTCTTGCTGATGCTGGAAGAGAAGACGCCCACCTTGCCTGAAGGAGCAAGTGTGTCTTTCCCCCCATCTTTTGGTACCAGAAAACCTGCCAGCTGCTGTCCAGAACCTTACATCTCCCCTCCCCACACTCCCACAAGCAGCATTTAATAGCTGAATGCACTCTGCTGTGTTAGGCCACGTGCACAAACCATAAAGGCATCATGCAATCCCAGGAGCCTCTGCACCGACCATTGAGGCCTGGGGAATTTGAGCAAGGAGTTTTCGGAGGGAGTGATTGTAGTGGAGTTTGGTGGGTTTTTGAAATGGTTTTTCGAGGGTTTGCAGGAGTTTAGAGGGTGTTTGCAGGCTTTTCCAATGGTGTTCCCTATATACTCAATTTCACTTAAATGTGCAGTGCCTTGGAACATAACCCTCACGTAAACAGGGAGTTGCCTGTATTTGAAAGCAAAAATACTCTTCCTACAAGCTAGGCCCGATCCTGGAGGCTGCTGCTGGTGGCAAGTAACATGCAGTTTCAAAACTTCCTCTTCCCCTTTATGTAGCTTCAGAATCTGTACCAAAAAATATTTAAAAAGAGCAGGGCTGGGAGGAAGGGAGAGACCCCAATATAAATTGTTTAAACTTTCTGAAAATGATCGTCTTTCTCCCTCTCTGGCAGGCATCCACGTAACTAGGGACAGGCGGCGTTTCAAAATAGAACAATTAAACCAAGAATGCTTTGGAGGCTGAAGCGCTCTATTATTTTCCACAGCAAGAGCCCCAGAGA